AAACTCCGTTGTTGTGCACATACTGTGTCATGTTCCTGGAATACAGCTAAAACTCCTAAACCCTGCTTGTGGTTACACATCTGCTGATGAGTCTGCTGTGTCACTACAGTGGATTTTTGGCACAGTTTCACCATCAGTAACCTGTTTAAAATGCCCGAGGATGCAGCAATTAAACAGAATCCACAGTCTCTTTAACTCGTAGGAACATTGTACTGAATCATTGTCTCTCGACAACAGGAACAACATTTCTAACACAGTGGTGGGTGGCCTTTGGTGGAAGGGGGAACATTGTCGAGATCATACCTGTAGGATCACAGCGAGATAGTCAACAACTTCAGAAAATAGTTTCACCCTCACAAATGTAGAGATACACAAAAACATTGTTTGTGATAGAAACAGATGATACACTATCTTGGATATTCAGCTGTGATTTCTGTGGAAGCACAAATTCTTCATTTTGTTTTTTCCCGGCTGAACTGCATGACCCACAGGTCCAATATAACCGGATGTGTTCCTTGGTGCTGAGTAACAATATTTCTAACGTGGTGGTTAAATCTGCACCATGTTATTATAGACAAAGAGCGGACTTGTCATCATGTAACAGTAAATCCTGTTTTTTTGTTGTTTTGGTTTTTTCCCCTGTGTTCTTGCCCCATGGTCTAATTGCAGATATGCTTTGGAAATCAGAGCCTGCAACGAAAGCTTCACGAGGGAACCAGATGTGTGTCGGATCAACAGTGGCTCCACTCAGTTTTCCAGCAGGTGGCACTCTGTCATCAGAGCAGTCAGCAAGGGCAAAGGAGAGTCAGAAGTAGAGCTCTTGTACAGGGAATTAGTGTCAGAAAGAAAATGCAGCATCAAGCTCTAACAGCCACATACTGTCTGCGGAATATCTCTCATTTACCCAAAGGAAGCGAATTACGCCACTTGCAAAGCAGCAAGTCTTTACTGCTCAATCTGCACCATAAAAACGTCATTTCGATGAAGTCCTGTGAGCGATTTACTGCATCTTTTCTTTAGTCTGGGTTCACACAAGAGGCAAAGCTCCTCTAAATTTTACAACGCTGATTCAAGGCTGGTGTTTTCAGGATACCTCCTAAGGCAGGAATTGGATTTTCTTTTAAAATGGGAGATAAAATATTGATGTTGTTCTAATTTTGTAAGGCTGTTTGGTGAATAATTGATTGTTAGGAGGAAATGGAGTTTGTTTTATTTGCAGCACCCCGATGCCATTTTATTAAAAGGTTTTAACATTCTGAGAGTTTATTGGTATTTCTTTGAGGCTCAGCGCGCTGAATGAAACCATTTCTACGGGACAGTCAAAGACAATTGGTATGTTTCATGTCATTACATCTCAACAGGCAGTGTTCAGTTGGTAATAAATGCAAATTTTCCATCTGTTGCAAATGTGCATCCACCCATATTTTTTTTTTTCTTCCAACTTCTCATTTTCATGCTCATCATTTTGGATGCAGCCTCTCATTAACTGCAATGCCAACCAGGAATTGATGTTCCCACACTGCTGTATCATAACAGATGAGTCTGACACAGATGCTACTTCAGCGGAGGCAGAATTGTTGGCCTTGTTTTTTATGACTGATTGCTTCTCTGTGAAGTCATACATGCAGAACAAACAAAGCCAACGATTACATTTATGTGACAGTGGATATTGCTCCGTGCTGTACTGTATAACACCACCATACTGTGAAGGCTGGCATGACTTGACACAACCTTCTAAAAGTAGGTTTTATCCTTCTTGCAGCTTCCACAGCTCTGTGTTACAGCTGCTCCCTAAGACAGATGTTGTGATGGTATATACTGTAAGGAGCTCTGACAGGGAGCTGTGTTTCCTGTTGTGCAGCAGCACCAGGGGCATAACACTCTAGCTTATTCATGACGCCTGATCACAGCTCAGGTAGATCAAACCACTCCTCTATTTTTAATGGAAAAAGCTCTTTACGGGGGCGTTAATATTATGCTGTGCATCCCTCTGCCCTACAGGGAATCTTGGGAGGATTTGAAAAGCCTTTGTTTTTTTGAGCTTCAGCAAATGCACAGAGCTATTATTGACCTGAAACATGACTGAAACAAACCACCCAGAGGAAAAAAAAAATCGATCCACAATTGTGCATTTCACCAGAGGGGATGAGGACAGGTTAAGAAGGCGGAGGTCACTTGTACTCTTTTCCGTTACAACACTCTGATATATATTTCCCATCCTTTTCAAAAATGTTACCACAATACACATTTCCTAAGAATTTTCCTTGCAAATGTGCACCAGTCTATTTACTAAATGCACCTGTGGTTTCATAAAATATAAGGTAGCTTGAACTGCAGTTGGTTTTTACTGCAGAATGATGATGATATGTGTGCAAATAGAGGTCCCTGTCCTCCCTCAGGATCTGCGGTTAACACATTCCCCCCAAGGTCACTAGGCTGCTGTGGGGAAAGGTCACCTCTGCTGGTCTATTAGAAATACACAGCTCCAGTGTTTCCTTTCCTCGTATTTGTTGTTCTTATCTGAAGTCTCCTTCCTCTTGATACTCCAGCTTTCCCTCAAAGCCTCCATGATAAAAATAGCCTCATAGACTGAATGATTACTGTTATAATATCATTGAACCAGTTCATTGATTTACAGAAGCATTCTGGTCAACATAAAAACGGGCACATACAGAATATCTTCTGCTTTATGGATTCTGGGCATGTGTTATATCCGGGGGAAAAATGAAACCGAAGTGAGTCTGTTGACAGCTTGTGAGGAGGAGACCTTGCACACACAGCCAGGGTGAGCAGTCATCACTGGGATTACTTGGTCTTTTCAGGAACCTCATACGTCTCCAAATATCAAAGGAATTCATATACCGAGAGGAGAAATGGGTTGTCAGGGCTGTGACAACTCTCAACTGTTATCTAACAGCCACTCGCAGCCTTATTGCAGCACGTTAATGAGAATTTTGACAGCACCGCTGAGCAGCAGTAAGGTACCAATAAAAAGTTGAGGGCTTTAAAGTGTTGATTGCTGTGGAATAATTACAACTTGAGAAATGATGGCTCCTCTAACGGTCTGAACAGGTAGAAAGAACCTAAATATTTAAAAAGAAATACCTGAATAGATGCACTGGGTACGTGTTGTGTTTGGATGAATCTTCAGTTAGCAGGTAGAAATTGCTGACTTTATGTAAGGAGGAAAACTGATAAGAGCTACTAGTCCCAGTTTTAAAAACTGCAGTTACGGAGGTTTTTAGTGATTCAGGAGCATCAAAAATGAGCTGTAAATGCAAAATTGGCACATTATCACCTTTTAAAGGTCAAAAGAAGTTGAAAAATGCAACTAAATAAATGCCTCTCCCTCCCCTTCCAAGGATGTGGCGGTTGCTAAAATTGTAAATACATTCAAAACCCTCTCTAGAGCCAGTCTTCGGTTCGTCCGTTCTGGGTTACTGCGTGGTGTTGCAACAAGGCAGACTGCATAGTTGAGGACCTTCATCAGTTGTACAGTAATGAAAACAGTGATTCTTATTTCAGTTGATTATCCACTAATTCTGAATATTACTTTCCATTTCTGCTCATAGATCCCATCAAATCCTACAGACTGGACCTTTACGTTAGTATGAAGAAACTGTTGACAAACGCCTGCTATCCAAAGATAGACAACAACATTGCTGTACTTGAAATTGTGTTGAGCTTTTAACTCTGACTTGGCCTTTGCTATCTCCTAAGTAAAATCTATTTGCCTCTTCCTCTGCTAAATGATAGTTCATAAGATAAACAGAGCAGACAGTAGCCTACTTTTGCTCAAAGCCAGACTGAACCAAAGCAGCGATGTTTTGTGGTTTCCTGTTGGCTAGAAAACCAAAACAAAAAAGCTAAGACTCGACCTCCCCCAGCTACGGGGAACTGTAGATTTGTGTGATAGTCAACTGCCACCTCTTTCACACAGAGATAAGCAGCCATGTTAACATAAAAACATTGACTGTCGCTACTTTAAAGTGATACAAAGAGCACACTAGGATTTTAGACCTCGTCTGTGTTTATGCATCACTAAGTTATACGTCTCAGTCAGTCCCAACTTGGGAGGCAACCTCTGGAAAAGAAGCACTACATTTATGGAACTTACTGTCACATAGAGATGTCATACAGAGCACACACTCTGACACCAGAGGCTTGCAGCTTTCATCCAGACTCTGTAGTTCGGTTTAGCAAACAAAAGCTCTTTGCATATGCTTTTGGAAGGATTGTAACTTTGGTTAAATGTTGACACGCAAGTTGTGTCTCCTGCTTAAAGTCACTGCTAACCAACACCACAATATTTGCCTAATCTAATGCAGTGAGGTGTTTTTGGTCCTCAACACAACCATAACATGTAAATAATGCTGTAGTCAGTATGATCGTGGACTGTAAAGCAAGATGTGTGCAGCGTCGACCTTTTTGTGACTTGTCAAGTCACATTTAACATTATTTTCTCATTGGATTAACAAAAAAGCACATTGAGTTTCCTTCAAATAATATTTTGTGTTGCAACCCTAATTTTCAGGACAGAGGTTTTGAATGTGTGCTCAGTTGTAACACTTGTACATGGACTCATTCATAAACCAGATAAATGACGTAAAATCATATTAACACAAATATGTATGTTTCACTATTCTACTGGAATCAAAACCTTTGCAAATAGGATTACCTATAGAAAACATATTATTATACATTTATTCATCCACTTTTCTCTTAAATGTAGTTATGTACAGTCTACCCAGCCTATATGGATTGCAGACAAATTAAGATACAGGTGGGTTTGATTGCTTCAGGCTGCGTTTTCAGCCATTCAAGCATCAAAATCTTCACTCTGCCTGAGAGATGTTTGTTATGTCAGTAATAGAAATGGACTGAATCTTATATAAGAGATTGTCAACAACTGAAGAGAACATCACTGAAGTGTCTTGGCCAGAGCTCGGAGTCTATACAAGAGACGGGGGGAAAAAAATTACATTACATTCCCATACAGTGTTTTTGAATGAGTGGCATTGAACATAGTTTAATTGCTAATCTACAGATGCCCCAGTTTGGCAATAATGCAAAATGTTGAGCTTACAGAGCAGCAAATACTCACAATCTTCAGGTTGTCATTTCTGGGTCAGTTTAAGAGTTCAGTCCACACTCATTAAAGCAGTGAATAAGGCTGTAGAAGCTGCCGTCTCTGGTGGTAAGTTGTGACAACGTTATTTTCTCTCCATGTAGCGAGGGGAAAAAAAAGCAAAAAGCCCGGCTCTCACCAGCAGCTAGCATTAAGGCTGGATAAAGATGGGCTTTAAGTGCATCGTGTGTTTCTCCCACATGAATTGCTGTCGTCCTGCAGCTACAAGCCTCCTGCACGCAGCTTCTAAAAGGTTAAAATATCCCATTCCCTCCATCTGCTTGTTTCGTTATCGGTGTCCATCTCGTCTGCAATGGATCAGTGCTGTTGGGTCACAGAGGGACTCAGCTCCAGCGGAGAGGAGTTCAGGGGTTATACAAGCCTTCTGTCAGCACACACACGCACCTCCATGCTCCAAAAGTCTTTTCCGATAGTGCCACTTCGCTGTTGTGCAATTAAGACCCTGAAGAAGAGATGAACATCCACATCTGTGATGCTACAGTCTCGTATTTACATCATTACATTCTTTTAGCCACTGTCAGTTTCTACATACACAGTAGTTAGGATTAACCTGCTCGAGTGAATGTATAAGCAAGTTCTAGCATTTGATATTCTGATACTGATCAACCACAATAACTGATATTGCACATTTTGTAATGTTCACTCAACTGTTTCACCGTAATGCAGAAAACAGTTAAAGCTTAATGTGTTCAGTCTGTTACTAAGATAAACACAGAGTCACTGTCCAAAAGACTTCCGTTATTGCAAGTTTACAGGTACCCTTTTCTGCCTTTTTTTTGTTTGTTTGCTCCAACCAAACTTTCAGTAAATACAACCCTCCTGAGTAAAGATAAATGATCTTTTAGTGACCTCAATCACTGAAGCATTGTAGCCCTGTGTAGCAATTCATGCTCCTCATTAGGCCGCATTCATTTAGGAACGAGCCTTGTGCTCTGATCATTACTTCTCCAGCCAATAGCTCTATTCCTTTGCTTAGACTGTATTCTGCTCCAACAAGGGTGGATGTTCTTTCGGTTGTTGAGCTGGTTCGGTCTTCTCGTCCTGCTCAGGTGGAGGCTGCTGCTCCTGCTGTGGTGGATCCGATTTAGGGACTTCTTTCTGAGGGGGTTGTATTGGTGGCGTCTGCTGTGTCTCTGCATTGGGCATCTCCTTCCTGTCGCTGGGCTGAATCTCCAGAGCCGGCGTGTCCTTGCAGCAGAAGTACTGCTGAAAGATTTTCCGGAAGGCTGAGCGGAACTTCTTAATGCGGAAAGCGTAGACAATCGGGTTGACGGCGGAGTTGCCGTGGGTGAGCAGGATGGCGATGTAGAGGAGTACTATGGGTGTGTTGCAGTCAGGGCAAAAAAGGGTGATGCAGTTGATGATGTGGAGGGGCAGCCAGCTGATGGCGAAGAGAAAAAGGACCAGAGCCAGAGATTTGGCCAGATTCAGCTCCTTGTCATAGTACTTGTTGGGGTCCGTGTGGCTGGTGGTGAATTTCTTACTGTTGAGTTGCTTGTGGATCATGTAGAAGATCTCTGCATAGATGACCAGCATGAGCAGCAGCGGCGGCAGCACCCAGCCGAAGAAGTTGAAATAGACCATGTAGTCCATGCTGATGACGTTTTCGAACCGGCAGGTGATGATGAGGTCAGAGCTGATGGAGCCGTTCTGCTGGAGGCGTTTCAGGTTGTTCCAGCCCAACATGGGAGTGAGCCCCACAATGAACGCCACCGTCCAGCACACCACCACCGCCAGCCCCGCTCGCCGAGGAGTCACCACCCGCTTGTACCTGCAGGAGCAAACAGCACAGCATCATGTCAGCACTTTCCCTCACAGCTGGGACATGCATGCCTTCCTCTTTACTTCTGTTTTCATTTTGCCAGTGGCCTTGAGCTGACAAAAGGTTTGATTCACAAGAATCATTTAAACTTCAAGCCTCTGAACACTTAACTAACAGCTCATTGCAGCACACAATTCCACTTGAAATATGGCTGTGAAACCCTTATCAGTAACCCTTGGCCTTTACAGCAGTGCTGCTTTTCATGCCTCTTTTGTTAAGGGCAAAGCTGAATTGCTAAAATTGGCTCAGTATTACTTTCCAGTGTAGTACAGCAGTGCACGGCAAAGAAGCTGCAGTATTTGGCAGGTTACCAGCTGTAAAGGTTCCGCTCTTTTGTTGTTTACAGTATTTTATGGGTGAGAAACAGGAGGTAGAGGAAGGTAAAAGACACAGAGGCTCTAAAATCTTATCACTGCTGTCCTGCCTTGTGCTCAAGAAATGACACAGAGAGAGTCATCCTGATCCTCGCCTCGAGGCGGAGATGAAAACGTTTATCTGATCCAGCTCATGTTAGAGAGCGTGTAGAGCAGTAATTGATCATTTTCAGATCACTAATGGGTGATATTTACCATGTCTGATGTTGTAATTGTAAGGGAAATGTTAGCAGTGCAGAAAAAAAACCCTGACCTTTGCTGAAGCATGAAGCGAAACATGGTGCTGCAATTCAGCCTGGCTGTCACAGGTAGGCTACCATGTGTTAGATTAGTATTGATTAGGGACGTATGTGTTAAGTTAGGTTTGTGTCTTAAGCACAGAGAGAAAATCATTATTCACACACTGAGCCCGAGAGTCAGGCTGCTCTGAAGAGCTCAAATTCTGATCTAAAAACAGAAAGTGTGAGAAAAACAAGTGAGAGAAAGCAGCACTTGATCTCATTTCTGGGAGGAAAAAATACAATGCTGTTTTTGTAATTTCAACTGTTCTCCCTGCTAATGGGAAAGGAGCAGCACATTTGTAATTTTAATAACCCGAGCAAGAAATTACAGACAGAATGTGCAGACAGAGCAATATATTAGGCTTGGATGGTTTTATACAAAATAAAACTGAGAAGTCAAAAGCTAAAACTCATGATAAAGTGTTATCTTAAGCCTGGAAGACTTACTGAAGTCTTACACAAGAGATTAACGTCTGAGGCTACCACAGACAATATTCAGAGACAATGCAATTCCCCCTCTCCTACTTCACTTATCTTTCCAGCCTTTCACCACCACTGTTCAAGCCTTGTGTTTCGGCCTGGCATGATAAACCACTGGAGGCATGTGCCCGAAATACAAAGTGGGAGCATCACTGACAGACAGATCTTACCACATGTGTGTCACTTCTCCTCCACACATGTTCCTGAAGATAGAAGGTCTAATTAAATCTGCTGCTTGTTTATCCAAGCTCTGGTTTAGCTGTCATGTCTGTGACTTGAATCTAAATTCATAGAAAGACACTGGCATGGAAGGATGGAAGCTCCAAAGCTCAGGATGGACTTCTGCTGTTTGGCTTTTTTTCTTTCTTTCTTTCTTTCTGGGAAATCAAACATCATCAATTCTCCACATGGTGCAGATATTGGATGCATCTGCTTGTGTTCATGTGGATTTTTACTTTCATTTTGCATTACCTGGTGGGGATCTTGACCCTGAGATAGCGGTCAATTGCAATAGCCAAGAGGGCCAGGATTGAACTTTGCGTCAGCACCAGCACCGTGCACGCCACGAGCAGGCAGCTGTAAAAGTGAGTTTGAAGTCCGATGCTGATAGTAATGGCCAAAGGGATGACGAGGGCTCCCACCGCAATATCCGCCAGAGCCAGTGAGACAATGAAACAAAACGTGTTGTCTCGCAACGATTTATTAATTTTCACCGCCCAAACCACCATCACATTCCCGATTACTGACGCCACAGCAATCAGCACCTCCATTCCAATGTAGAGTGTCTCCGCTGAAAGTAGCGCCCCGGGCATCCTTGCAGATTATTATGTCCTTGGTAAGCAACAAGATTGATTTCAGTCAAGCAGCCGTGTGACAAGCAAACAGACCGGTCCTTGAGGTTTATTTGTCACTACAGTGTTTTCCAAATGAGCTGCGCATTCGTCAGTGTCACGGCGCCCTCATTCTTCTGGTTAGATTGAAGTTGTGCAGAAAAAATCCAGTTATTTCAGGACAAGAAGAAGACAAAGAAGACGGGTGTTAACCGGCAGCATCTCTAATAATAAGTGGGGGGGTTTCCTTTTGGAGCAGGTGTTGAGGCTCAGCGGTGGTGGTGCGTCGCTCCTCGCTCTGCGCGCTGCGCCTCCACTCCGCTCAGTACACCTGCTTGTCCTGAGTGCAGCATCCTTCCCATGATGGATCCAAGAGGGCGACTCCTGCTCATCAGCCCGTTTTCTTTTCTTTTCTTTTCTTTTTTTTTTAATTTATAAAAAAAACAAAGCAGGTTTTTAAACACTGCAAATAAGAAAGTACCTCGTGGAGAAAAAAAGCGCGCACAGATGCAGCTCCTGCGCAGGCGGACGTTCTCTCCGTCTCTCTCCCCTCCTCTCTGTCTCTCTCTCTTCTTTTTCCCCCCACGTTGTGCTTTCAACAAGAGCAATAATGCAGTTGCTGAAAATAGCGGTGTGATTTTTCTCGGCTTTTTTGTTCCATATGCTGCCTTTGTTGCGTGGCAGTGTATAATCCTGATGTATTTTCCTGTAATTTGTTTGCTTGGTGTTTCGTTTTCTTCTCGCAGACATAAATAAATACCACCCCAGCCCTGTGTGGGACCGTCCCAGGGAGGGAGAGCGGAGGTGATCTGAACTCACACTTACTTTCATATATGGCCGTTTCTCCCACGCCCTTTTAAATGCAAGTGGACCTTGCTCAGTTGCACATTGTTCTGCAGAGGGGTGAAGCAATAACGCCCTGCCACAGGTGACAGAGAAAACACTGATAAAAGATTTAATGGCATCAAATCCCTCAGGACCGGATAAACAGCACAAATATGGAAGCGGAGAATAAAAAGGCTCCGCTTATGCTGCTTTGCGTCTTTCTACTTCAAAACACCTCAGAGAAGAAATGAATACAAATAGATATTCAGGTCATTCTAAATATATCCTTCAGACTTCAAAGACCTCCTCTCTGAGCCCCAAGGCCAGCCCTGCAAACAAGACTTGGAAACATTAGGATGGATTTAGATCTATTGATCATCCCTAAAAACATAGAAAAAATTAAATTAAAAAAATCATCTGCAAGCCTTCTGAGTGGTTTGTGAAAAAAAGGATACTTCTTGCTTCTCATTCTGACCAATAACCCGGAACGATCACCTGCCCTGTTGTTTCCTGAGAGCAAGCCTTGAGAAGTCAAGCCCTGCAGACGTCCAGCAGTAAACTCCAGGCGTCGTGTGTTCACTTGCTGGGGTTCAAAAAGGTCAAAAGCGGGCAGCAGTGAGAGCTCCGACAGGATCACAAGCAGGCAGGAATGACTGTTTTGATTGGACGTGTAGGCGTCACAGATGGTGCACTGCGCTCACTCGCTGGAACTTATGCAATATGGAAGAAGGCAGGGTGAAAGTCCTGGGCTTCGGCTGACAGTTGGCATGTGATTCATGCGAAAACAAAAAGGAGATGCTGCGGTCGGTATTCACGCCGAGAGATGGCGGGAGGGCCAGCAGTCAGTGGGAGCGTCACAATTTGGTGAAAGTTGTCAGCATGAAGTAAAGAGGTCAGCCAATGTTCACTGAGGAAGGGAGCAGACATATGGTCCCGGTATAGAGATTGTCACCTGACCCAGTTGGGACATTTTAATGAGCGTGGTGGCAATGCAATGCAATATTAGTGCAAATTGTGTGAACTAACAGCCAAAGCGGTCGACAATCAAGTTTCTGATTATTCTCACCATAAAAGGTGCTTTTTCCTCCACGCTTGCATTTCTTTCAATCACGGATCATCCTTCACAAATGCTGTTGACAAGGTTCAGTTTGGAGCAGAGAAGAGTCAGGCTGTTTTCTCACAGCTTAGTGACTCAGGGCAGGAAACACATGCTTAACATGGCCAACACAGAGCTCACAATACTGTTTGTTGTTGCTCACTGTCAGCGCCTTCACCAAACACACCGCTGCAGCCTGACAGTGTGCGAGATGCAAAGCGCTCCCTGTACCTCATACACATTCACTGAAGTACTCCTCATTCTGTCAAGGCCTTTCCGGGGTGAATTTCAACAACCCTGAAACACTTATTTGACAGACAATTCAGTTAAACTAACTGCCGCAAAGTCCACAAAGCTTGGAAATGAGGAAATGCTTCAGTGAGCGTTTGGCAGATTTTGCCATGTGTGAACAGTGAATTGCAGGGTGCTTCAGTTGCATGAGACAGATTCCACAGTTCAGTGCATTTTTCTAACTGAGACCAGAATCAAAGATATCTCAACTGTTACAAAAGACCACAGTATATGCGCGGCCTTCAAAACCACAGCTCTACATCATCTGATTGGTGAAAAGGAAGCTGCTCAGTAGTGAGGTTCAGTGCTTTTAGCAAAACGTCTTCATTAAATGTAAATCATCCTGTCCTGGTAGGTGACAGAAAGAGCAGTAATGGGCACCGGCATAATGTGACACATCCACCGTTTCTAAAGCACACACATATATATATATATATAAAGGCTCTAAGTGCTTGGCTGAAGAACCACACAACAAGCCATATTCAAATGAGAAAAGATCAGATAGTGCCCTTCTCACCCTGTGTCTGCTGAACCGGGTTCAAACGCAATATTGCTCAGTCATTAAAAAAAGCCCTGGTGATGAACTGCAGTGGCCTTTTCAGTGGACCATTGAACCAGACGGCAAGAACATTATTAAAGACTTGGGATCTCATTCTATTAGTCAAGACTCCTTACAAGAAAACAGTTTAGCCATTTCAAACAAGACTGGTGCCATCGAGAAATGAAAAAATCAATGTAGTTATCAGGGACATGGACGTTCCTGCCACTCTGATCAGAAAACCTCTAATGAAAATCTCACATTTGAGATTGCTGAACACTCACATAAATCCCAATATGACAAACCCCAGAACAGCCTCGGAATGACTGCAGTTGCTCGGAATAGACGTGATTCTGCAATTTAATGGAAATTCTGCATAACATGGTCATTCGCAGAAAAAAATTAAACTGTACTAATCTCTTCCATGGAAGCCCGCTGTTCTCATACAAGCACAGTCATTACCCCAGGCTGTTTCCTTTGCAAAATGAATACGTATGCAGTGCGAAATTTAAGTCCATAACATTGTCTGAGGTCCTAGGAAACATCTACAGAGTGAGAACATCCACCGAAGACAGACTTCACTACTGCCGGAATAACACATTTGCTAGCTTTAAACTGGTGATTCTATGGTTAGAAATACTGCACATTTGACTGCAGTGCAAAAGCATTTACTATTATTAAATTGTGCATTATCCATGTGACCCAAAATGGGGGTTACACTTCACAAAAATACAGTCAAGCTGGTTGGAGTCCTGACTGTTGAGTGTCATTATGATTCAGCTGCAGCACTGTGAATGGAAGTACTTGAATATGTCCTGACTTCCTGTTTACACTCAGGAAAAACAACTTTGCAGGAGCTCCTCTCAGAGCTGCCAGCTGCGCTGCCCCACATCATCTCGCCTGCTACTGACCCACAATATGCCTGGGAAATTTGCCACCACTCCCACTTGAAGCTTGAGCTGACAGGGTGAAAATGAAAAATGTCAACAGCTAGCTTGGTAGCCTGCTGTCTGCTACCATAGAAAAGCCCTCCCACGATCAAAACAGGGATATTTTGATGTGTGAATCTTTCCACGTGGCTCACAGATGAGGTTTTTGCCAAATGCTGACGAGGCTGCGGGCCAGACTTTAGAATTTCTGAGATCATGAGTCATCTAGTATTTTGACTACCCACCAAAAACATCAGCTCTGATCATTTAAAATGACTTGAGCTGTAATTATCAATAAATTATGTTTTACGCACATGCAATTAGTCTTAATAATATCCAAAACTCCCTAACAATCATCCAGTAATCGTGTATAGCTTTAGAAGCTGTAGATCATTGAAACAACCGGTAACGATCACAAACACATGACCTCCACAATAGCTGCAGTCTGTTCCAGAAAGTTACACTTTGACAACTGGAGAAACACATCTACTGAATAAAACTTTACAATATAGCCTGTAGTTTACAGTGCAAATTTGTTCGGTTTTTTTTGTTAGTCAGGTGCCAATAAAATACTCACTGATCCCTACAGGCTGAGCTCCACTCTTCTATATTGTATTACCAAAACAATTTTCATTTTTGTTCTTTAATTACACAGCTAGAACATAAATTCCCCAAACTTCATTATTTAAGTGTTTCAATGGCGTAGGCCTTTTTACTCAGCACAAAAACAATGGTTTATAGGTTACTGTAGTTAAAATAGATTGTGTTTGCGCATTTAACTTAAATAAATAAATATTGGAGCATCCATCCATCCATCATCTATACACCGCTTAATCCTCATTAGGGTCGTGAGGGGCTGGAGTCTATCCCAGCTGACTTACGGTGAAGGCAGGGGACACCCTGGACAGGTCACCAGTCTATCACAGGGCTACACTTAGAGACAGACAACCAAGCACATTCACATTCACACCTACGGACAATTTAGAATCACCATTTAACCTCAACAGATTTTTGGACTGTGTGGGAGGAAGCCGGAGAACCCGGAGAGAATCCACGCTGCACGGGGGACTGCTCACCGGGACATGAACTGGGGATCTTCTAGCTGCGAGGCGACGGTGCTAACCACTGCCCCACCTTGCAGCCCACCTTGAAAGTTCAATTCAATTCAATTCCGTTTTCTTAATACAGCACCAAAACATGTCATCTCATCTCACTTCACAGAGGAAGGTGAAGACGTCACAAACTATAAACAGAGGAATGCAACAAATTCAAAATTTCCTTCAGATTCCTTTTGAGATAGCACATGGGAAGGAACAAAAAGCTCCCATTTATCTGTAAGGACAAAAAATAAAACAGGCAGAACCAGGCTCTGGGAAGGCAGCCATCTGCCTCAACCTGATGGGGTGAGGTTGATCTTCAAATCTCATTAATAAACACATTATATTTCACGTCCATCCGTACAATAACCACAGGGCAGTTTTTATGAGGGAGCAAAATGACTGCAAATTATTGTTTTACGATGTGTTCATAAATAAACAAGTGTGCTAAATAGTAAGTGATTAGAGGTGCTGTTAGGCAAATTTTGTTAGCTTTTGGCAGAGCCAGGTAGTTTTTCTCTGTCAGTTTTGATCCTTAGCTAAAACTGGAATCAATCACTTCAACAGTATCTTTGTCCTTTTGGCTTTTTTTTTTTTTCTTACGAGAAAATAAGCTGTCATATTTTCAGGTAA